GAGGGCGGGAGGCAGGAGTCAGGAGGCAGAGGAGGAGGAGCAGGAGGAGGCGCGGGATAAAGGAGCGCTCGCTGCTCCCGCTCGCTCTCCAGCGGGGCTGAGAGAGGCATCATGGCCGCGAAGTCGGACGGGCGGCGGAAGATGAAGAAGGGCGGCGAGGTGGCGTTCACGCCGCTGCAGAACTCCGAGCACTCGGGCTCCGTGCAGGCGCTGGCCCCGGGGCTGCCCGCCGGCTCCGGGCCGGGCGGCGGCAGCGACGACGATGAGGCGCCCGGGGGCGGGTGCTGCAGCGGCGGCGGCGGCGGGGACGGCTCGGGCGGCGGCTCCCGGTGCTGCTGCTGCTGCTGCAGCGGCGGCAGAGGAGGAGACGGCGGAGGGGGCGGTGGCGGGGGCTCCCGGGGCTCGGGCGGGGGCTCGTCCTCCTTGTGCCTGCGGCTGGGCAGGGAGCAGCGGCGCTACTCGCTGTGGGACTGCCTCTGGATCCTGGCCGCCCTGGCCGTGTACTTCGCGGACGTGGGCACCGACATCTGGCTGGCGGTGGACTACTACCTGCGGGGCCAGCGCTGGTGGTTCGGGCTCACCCTGTTCTTCGTGCTGCTAGGCTCCCTGTCCGTGCAGGTCTTCAGCTTCCGCTGGTTCGCGCACGACTTCAGCACCGAGGACAGTGCCGCCGCCGCCGCCGCCGCCGGGCACTGCCCCGCCGCCGAGAGCAAGCTGCTGGTGAGCAGCGGCTCCGCGGCCGCGGACATCGACGCCGCTCGCCCCAGCACGCCGCAGAGACAGGCGTCCACCGCCAGCAAGGGCAACGCCACCAACAGCAGCAGCAACAGCAGCAGCCACGCCGCCGGCAGCGGCCCCGCCGGTCCCCGCGCTGGCGGCGGCCGCTCCGCGTCCTGCGCCTTCTGCATCTGGCTCCTGCAGTCGCTCGTCCACATCCTGCAGCTGGGGCAGGTCTGGAGGTGAGGAGCAGGGCGAGGGTGGTGCGAGGGCCGGGGCTTGAGCCCCTGGCCACGGGGGAGCACGCCCGGCCGCGGGAGGGACTGCGCCCGGCGAGCGGCCGCCAGCCCCGCCTCGGGGTGCCTCGTGGGGACAGCGCGCCCCGGCCCGCCGGGCCGTCGGGGTGACCGGGCTCCCGCAGGGCTGACCGAGCGCCGGGTGCCGAGGGGAGCCCCCCGGGTCCCGGAGCGTCCTGTGCTGCACAGGTGACCGCCCCGGGAGGCGCCCGGCTGCCTCCAGCCCGCGCAGCGCCAGGTGCCCAGAACCTCCTGGGAAACCTGCGCCGGAGGCTCGGTAAAATAAGGGAACCGGTGGGGAAAAGAGGACATACCCCTGTAACGTACATCTCCTGGTCTCCTCGCATGCGGCCAGCACACCGTTGCCGCCAGCAGGGAACTTCACTGGCAGGGAAGACTTACTTTCCCGTAACGCTCTGATGCCGTGTTTTGAGATTTATGTGTACATATGCTACAAACAGTCATCTCCTTGCTATGCATATCCATTTTCTATATACGTGATGTATTCACTTGAATGTCTTCTAAATCAAAGTTTTGAGTAGCAGTTCTCAAAATCATCTGCAAGCGACGTGCTGTGCGTTATGGAAAGGATGTGCTGAAGTGGGTTGGGAAAGACACTTGCTGGAAAAGAAGATGACATCATAGTTTTCAAAAGTAAAGTTTTCCTTCAGTTTTAGCAAATTTCTGGGAAAGAGTCATATGGAGGCTGAATGTCCTGCAAATACATTTAGTTCTGCCTGAAAAGTGCAGAGTTCAGAAGGCAGAGTGTATAAAGAGGTAAAACTTTCACATAAAATTTAGGAAGATAGATGCTGTGTTGAAGAAGGTCATGCAGTAGGGCAAGTGCGCTACAGCAACAGTGGAAAATACCTTCTGTGGTTTTTTTTGTCTGATGGATGGAAAGAAATTATGTCATCCTTCTGTTTTGGAAACACTCAGGACTTTTCATAACTATTTCATTAGGGAGTTTAATTTGTTGTTACTGTAAACTTCTAATGCTGATTCTTTTAATATCTGTCTCATCCTTTTGGGCAAAGTCTGTCTTTTGCTCTGTCAACATAATTTCCAGTGCAGCTCAGTTCTGCTTGTAGCCCTTAAGCATCAAGGAGTCCAAGATAGTTGACCAAAGATCTTGGAATGCCACGACTAAGTACCTTTTGCTCTCCAGAGTGTTTGATTCATGGTAACAAACTCAATTTTCCAAACTTGTGAAACTAACTAAAAGTTACAGGTGTGCTCATATTAACAATGACATGGCTTGAAAGGGAAGCAGAATTTTGAACAAAAAGTGATGCTTTGTTTCAAACCTTGAATGCCTTTATGCTCCTTTATCTTCTACCTTCAGAGATGTTTAACACAAGTTAAGGCTAGGACTTTCTGAATGTGATGGGTTTTGTGTAATGTTTAGTCCCCACCCTGCAGAGGTAGAAAGTAAGTACAGTGGCTTAAATTGTCCTTAGAAATTCGTGTTGATATTCGTACAGATAGAAGTCAAACAGTGTGGATTATGCTGAGTGATAGAGGAAAGAGTTTTACGAGGTCTGGTGTCATGACTCTGTATTGGAGAACACAAAGAGCAGGGAGGGTTGTGGGTGGAGCAGGGTGGGATCCAATACTGTGCAGCACTTCTGTCAGATGAGGTGTCCGGGATTTAGAGCTCTCCAGCTGCTTGCTTTTTGATGAAGCACAGCGTCTTTTAACATAAGATTTCCTCCTTGCAAAAGCACCTACTTCTCTATATTTAAAGCTAGATGAGTCTCTTTTGATCATATGCAGCTTTTCTTCATGTTTTATGTGCAACAGTGTAGGACTACCAGAATATTACACTGATGAGGCATGTTAGGACATTATTTATGGTTTAGCCTGTTACACTTTTTTTATTTTTTTCAGTGAAACAGAGCCATCAAATTGCCTGTCTCTCAGTAACTTTGTAGTGTTTATTTGCAGTTTCCCACAAACTTAGAAGTTATAAGGTCAGCAATATGGAGTGTTTCATATCAGCACTTCATAATTGATTAAAGTGGTTCAATTTTAATTCCCTACATATATTCCTGATTAGGGAGAGCCTTTGGAGACGTCTACAGCTAATAATCAGCCCCAAAGAGAAAAGTTGCATCAAACCCTGAGAAACTCTGTACATAAGCATGATGTCAGAACTAGCATGATCTGTAGAAATTTTCTGGAAAGAGTATCTCTAATCAGACACTTAATAGTCCAGAACTTCTACTCTGCAGTGTAACATTGGTACTGCCTTGAGCAAATAGCTCAAGCTGTTTGGGCTGAAAGATGATCTAAAGTGTTTTCCAGTTGCCTGTGTTTGGAGATTTAACTCCTTCTTTGACACAGCTGAACAGACCATGCTGGCTGTGTGGGCACCACAGGTGCACATGTGCTGGGATCACCATCCCAACAAGTGACAAAACCTGTTACCCTTTGTTCTGTGCCTCTCATTATATTTCTTCTTAGCTTTCACATTTTTCCTTTTTTTTTTTGCCCCTGGTTAAAGCTGTCCTGTAGCTACATTTAAATTTTCTGTTACTTATTGCACTGAATCTCCCACAAGTAAAAATGACAGTAATATGTCTCTCATTTCTCTATCAGGGATTGAGGGAAAAGTTTGCTTGTGCCTGATTCTCAAGCTACTAAAATTGGTGATCATTCTGTTTTCACGTGGTATTTGTTGTCTTCTGTCTCCTCTTAAAATTAATTGAATCCTGAGGTCTTCAATTTCCCTTTATTTGTCTCATTGCCAAAGGTTTTGGGGGCAATGATGTCAACTGCTTATTTAAGGAAACCATCCTGAGGAAAGAGCAGTACAACTGATGATCCCAGTGCTCTTAATAATCTTGAATTAAATAAAAAATTTGTAAAAATGTGTTTTTAGTAATTAATTCTGTCAGAATGACTTTTAACAATTTCAAAGCATTTCCTCTGAGATTAATATTTTGTTTACAAACATACTGAAAGCAAGATCATTGAAAATTATTATGTGTTAATTTTAACTAAAATGTGCTAATGGGAAATGAATGAGGTCTTTAATGTGGAATGAAACAATTCTAGAAGTAGGCAATCTAAAATTGCTAAAACAGTTTTTATTCTTTGAGTGTGAAAAAGGGGAACTGCAGGAGCAGCTAAGCTGCCAATCAGTTCTGAATAAAATTGTGATTTTTTTTTTCTTTTGAAATTGGTGTAGCTTCCCCCCAAAAAAACTTTGGAATATCAAATGGCTCCTTTAAAAAAAAAAAAATATATATATATATATATAAATATAATTTTTTTCCTCTGAGGCGTGGCTGTTCATGGACTTCCTGATTGCAGTAGCCACCTTTTAAAATTCCAGTGAATTTTAAAATTCACTGAGGATCTGCTTGCCACAGCAGAGTGCAGGAACTAGGCATTTGTTGGCAGCTAATTTCATGGTGAAATGTGATCGCTGATGAGATTCTGCCTTCAGAAATAGATACAGATATGTTTCCTTATCCATACTTCCAGTGTGTTCTGCTTTTTACCAGTGTTTCACCATGGAAATCACACTACGGAACCCTCTACTCCAAAGCAGGTGATGTGTGAGACCTCTCTTATTATTAGTAGACTCTGAGGGTTACAAGGAGGATGCAATACTCAGGGTGCTTCTATCCCATTGAAAGGAAAAATGAAAGAAGATGCTTAAATTTGGAGTCTGTAATGACCTCCGTGGAGGTATATGGGCCAGTAGGATTCAGATAAGCTATTGCCCTATGAGCCCAGCCTGAGAATGTGTAACCACTGCCCTTGAGCATCCTTTTGATTCCCTAAACTTCACAGGCTTAGCCATGATTTTCAGATTTTGCTGTGGATGGCAGGACTTGGTGACTGGATGTAAGAGATCATAGTGTTCACCTGTCATCTGTAGAGCTGGTTCATTTCCTTAAAAAAAGTTCTGGCTGAGGTTCCCTTGGTCTGGTAGGATTCAGATAGCCATGCTCCTGAAGCTGGGTGAAGGGATCAGTCAGCCCTGGGAGAAGTGGGGGTGGGAAGTTGGGTGAAGAGCAGGATGAGACTGGAGCACTTGCTGGTGCCCATCTTGTGGTGTCTGGATAGCAAGAAGTAGCTTCCTGAGACAGCTCCTGTGCCTTGCAGCAGGGTGTTGTGATCAGGCTGCCTTGGTGCTCAGAGTGCTTGGGAGTTCCCACAGTGTCTGTCATTTTGTCTGAAAGGCTGCAGTCAAAGTGCCTGAAAGGGAACTGTCAAGTTTCTGTAGCTAACAAGGCCAGAGGAAGGGTGAATCATTGAAAAGATAGGACTGGAAATTACCCTGTAAAATTATTTCTGGATAGCTGAAGCAATACTGAGATGATTAAGTATATCCCTCTCAACAGAGTCAGGGGGTTTGACTGAGACTTCCTAGCTCTATGGGAAACCACCTAGAGAAGGAGGAGGACACACCAAGTTACTTACTTGTCCTTCCTGGTGGCATTGTCCAGGACAGGTGTCTGCTCCTAAGTGGATCCTCTTCCCTGACATATGATGCTATGGATTGGCTATATCTGTTCATGTGTAGTACTAAGAAGCCATTATTTCCCCCATCCTTCCTGGTTCTTATTTGGAAAAAAAAGGAGTTGTGGCAAGATTGTAAAGGTGATGTTGGATTCTGAGACCAGGGTGAGTTGTAATTTCTCTGGTGCCCTGTGGAAACATTTTTCACAGGTCTGGATCATCTGCCAAAGAAATGTCATTGCTTATGGTCATAAACTTCACTTCTGCAATAACTTGACACTCTTAGAAGTAAAAAACCCAAACAAACCAACAATAAAAAAAAAGGGAAAAGGGTGTCTGCCCTGCATGTGAGAAATCCTGACGAATTCTTCAGGTTCTCACCGTTAAGCGTGACTGACCCCCTAAACTGGAAGTGCCAGCAAGGTAGTTCAAATTAAGAAAAACATCATCAGTCTTAGTTTGACTCCAAA